GCCCATGAGCATTTCGCTTCAGGAATGGCTAGATCCACCCCCCAAAAAAACAAAACAAAACTTTCTCTTGTTGCTGCTTTACCTCATTCCACGCCAGCTTCCTCCCTAAGGTGGGTATGATGGCTACCAGCTCTCCAGATGTGCATTTCTTATGTTAGCTCGAAGAGGCATTCCTTCTTCCCAGGGATATATATCAACTCAGGTCTGAGCTATAACCACTGATGGCAGAGGAATGTAGTCATATAATTGGCCCAACTTTGGTCAGGTGCTCAGGGAACCACAAGCCAGCAGTTCAAACCTACAAGCTCCATCAAAGGGGAAATGTGAGGCTTTCTGCTCCCATAAAGACTTAGAGTTTCAGAAACACTATACAGAATAGTATGTGTTGAAATCCATCACTCGTCTGTCAATTTTGTCGTATTATGAAGGCTTATGTGTGACTGTGATGTTGGAAACTATGCCACTGGTATTTGAAATACCAGTAGGTTTACCCTTAGTGAACAGGCTTCAGCAGTGTGTACAGACTAGGAAGGAGAGGCGGACTACTTCTGAATGTCTAGCCCCAAAACCTTTATAAATAGGAGCAGAACATTGTCAGACATCGTGCTGAAAGATGAGTTCCTCAGCTTGAAAGACATTAAAATATGACTGAGAAAGGGCTACCTCCTCAAATAGTTGACCATAATGACATGAATGGAACAAATCTTTCGGGACCTTCATTTGCTGATGGGGCACAAGTAAAAATGAGGAGAAACAGTTGCAAACATCCATTCCTAATCAGAACATGGACTGTAAGAAGTATGAATCTAGGAAAATTGAAGTCGTCAAAAATGAAATGAGGGCATAAAGATTAAAATAATAGACATTAGCTGAAATTTACTGATATTGGCCATTTGAAATCTGACAAACATATGGTTTACTATGCTGGGAATGACAAACTCAAGATGAATGGTGTATTAGTCATCGTCAAAAAGAACATTTCGATGCCATCTTACCCCATTGTTAATAGCAAAAGTTCAACAAAGCAGAAAACAATAAAAACTGGAAAGAGTATGGGCCCCTCCTACACTGTTGGTGAAACTGTAAAATGGTTCAACCTTTGTGGAAAATGTTAGGGTGCTTTCTCAGAAGGTTGGAAATAGAAATATTATATGACTCAGCAATCTCTCTTCTTGACATATATCCTCAAGAAATGACACAAATATGTATTTGTACCCTGTGTTCATTGCAGCATTATTCACAGTAACCAAAAGGTAGAGACAGCCTTGATGTCCGTCAGCAGAGGATTGGCACATACACAACTTTGGCACATACACACAGTGGACTATTCCGCAGCATTGAGTAACAATGAATCTGAAAAGCTTCACATAACATGGAGGAACCTGGAAGACTTTATGCTGATAGAAATTAGTTGGATGTAAAGGGACAGATATTATATGAGACCACTACTGTCAAAAAGGAACTCTGGTAGTGTAGTGGTCACAAATCAGGCTGCTAATCTCACAGTCAGCAGTTCGAAACTACCAGCTGTTCTGTGGGAGAAAGGTGAGGCTTTCTTCACCAGATGGGCTCAAACGTAACAATTGTAAGGATGGGGCAGGACCTCACAGTGTTTTATTCTGTTGTATGCATGGTTACTCTAAGTCAGCCTCGGAAATCCTGTACAAGGTTGCTATGAGTTGGAACCAACTCCACAGCACATAACAACAACAACAACAACAACAACAACAACTGTCAAAAGTCAAGAAAAGATTCTCATTCTATAACAAATTTTCTATGATGGTTATGAAGGGTGGGAGGGAAGGGAGACTAATTCACTGGGTAAAGTGTAGGCATGTGCTAACTTGGGTGATGGGGAAGGCAGTTAAAAAGACAGGGAAGGAAAAAATGAAATTGCTTTCTTCTTTTTGTTGTCTTCTCCTAATATTGGAAGGAAAACAATATATACTTATTTTCTTATTCAGACAAACCAGTGGGAACTTTCCCATAAATGAAAAAAGAGAAAGTAAAAGGGTGGGGGTGGAGAGGAGAACATGCCACATAGAAGTGTGATCAGTATGACTGGATTGTCAAAATGGCTGGGGGAAAAAAAAAGGAAGTCATAGTAACTAGAATCTGCAGAGGGCTTACCCCAGCCTGGGT